CTAGTCTTTGCAAGCGCGATTCCAATTAGGAGGATGTGAACAAAAGAGCAGCAAGCCTTTCTTGAGTTTCATACTCTGCAAGCGATGGGAAGGACGTGAACTGAAGAGCAGGTAGTTCGTCTTCCATACTCTTCGCAAGCGCGATTTCAAGGAGGATGTGAAATGAAGAGCAGTTAGTGTGTTTCTCAGACTCACCTAATGATCTTTTAGATGGGGGCACTATTCAATTGTTACTACCCCAATCTTCCGACATCAGACCAGTTTTACTATCGAGCTTTTCAAAAAAAGGCTGAAAATTTTGTTTCCAGACCTTCAACCTCCAAACACGAATATCGCATCGCTTGGCCAGGAATTGCCTGGCGCTCACGCCACGGTCCCACGGCTCAAGCTTTGCGCTCCAATCGCTATGGAGAGCGCGTCCTTCACGTCCGACATACTCGTCCAAGACGCCGCCCCACTGCTGAGGGGAGGTCTGTGTTTAGGGTGTTCCCGAGGTTTTTTCGCTTCTTTTTCTACTGAGGAGCTACCTATGGGCCACTGGTTCATGACTGAGCACCAACTACCCGTAACACTTGATCGCGGGAATTGTCTTTAAAAGCTCCCTTGCCCAAGTGCCGTCGGATATAAGGACTAAATGAATATTTAATGTTCTATGAAGAAGTGCGTGGACGGAAGGCATTCACAATCCACCATGGAAATAATAGGTTGAATCGATAACAACCTGTCGAAAGTTCAATATTTATTGATCTTTAAATTGCCAGTAAAATTTGTAACCAAAAACGACAAGAGAGAACTTAGCTGATATTTTACTGATTATCATCGGTGAGAAACTTTCCATTTTAAATAGCAGTGTGTTCGTGAAGAAGAAAGATTCAATTTGTGAGCAAGGCAATAAGGAAGCTAACGAGCATATTTAACAACAATCTATAAATATTCTCGGTGATTGGTGCCTCGCCTTTGGAGAGACACCCGGGTAAGATGAGTGAGACCGCTGAAGTTCTCGTAGATAAGGGGTTCCAGTAATTAGTCCCTCCAAGTACTTGATAGCACCGTTGTGTGTAGGTGATGATTGTTCGAATGGATAGGACTCGTCGTAACCTCAAATGAGAGCCTTTACCCGATAGGAAAAATAAAGCAGAGAGAAAATTCGGTGCTGTTTGACTTGAAGGGGGCATTTTGCACTTTCGCTCGCTCACTTTGCTGTATGTCCAATGACAGTTTTACTTTTGTGAGATTTGCAAAATGGTAAGAGTGAGCCGCTTTGTTCACGGGGATTTTCAGGTTCGGTTGTACAGCTTAGCTGTGCACCATTCGGTGCCCCCACCAAGCCGAATTCCTCCGAAAATTCTACAGTATGCTGACCTGTTATAAAGAATCAGCGGGTGTCTGCTTAGAAACAACTCTGTGAAACTTACCTCGTATTGTCGATCTTGGTTCTTGCGATGACGGGGCATTGTCTCCGTCTGGGGCACATCCTCCTCATACACTCTGAATAGATAAACTTGCACAACGTCATATTAAAGTTCGCCTCCATGTCTCTCTACTCACACATATTCCTCTCGAACGGAGGAGCCTGCACTCTTAGGAAGTCGGAACCATGAGAAGAACGGCGACACACGCTCTTCGACCACTGCAGGCTTCTCCACGACCACGTGATATATTTCTTGGAAGCAAAGCACACAATGACACTGGAAAGAACGGGTCTTAAAAGCGGCAGAGGTCAGGCCAGAGCTTGACGAACCAGGAAGAAAGCAATGAGGAAACCGATCAGCCATCCGACCCATATGTCTCTCCAATGGTTCTTGTAGCCGTTGATACGCGAGAACGAGTCAACGATGCAGAGACCAATGAACCCGAAAATGAGGAATGGCCGAAGCAGAGGAGCACCGCGAAGATTAATCATGTAGTAGATGTAGCACTAAAATGTACGTTGAATACTTTTCGATAGCAATCAATAAATCGGAATGATAGAGATGAACAAAACAAAATAAAAAAACTAAGGAATGAATAGTAAATTTGCGTCCACTTCATCGCAGCTTTTCACTACGCGAACACCAACAACTTGCTTTGCTATTTATTCGTTAGCTTCGAGCGATTGAATTCAATGATCCTATCCCCTTGAATTCAAAGTTCCTATCCCCTCATAGACCTTAGCCTCAGTGCTCTACGCTTGCACCTGTCACAGGGATGCTGAGGATTGGTAGACGTCTTGACAAAGGCCGGAAGTCGAACATCGCATCACGCTTAGCAGGCGATTGCGGCATGCTTTACGCCATTAGGGCTACCCGTTTCCCTTCTATAACGAAGCAGTGGATAGGGAAGCTGCTCAGTAAGCGTAAGGAGCTGATTCCAGTCCAGCCTGAAACCAAGCTTCTTGTCTATAATAGGCATTATTGCGATAACTTTGAGCAAGTGAACTGCTGTGCTGAATAGCAGCTGTGAGTTATCTTCGCCCTGAAAATTTTTTGCCCTTTTTTCGGGATGAAAAAATTCATACTAAAACATGTTCAGGAACGACAATAATAGGAACACACTCCTCCTATGAACGGTTCCTATTCCTCAGAAAGGGCTTGAAATCGGCCGCAGATACATTGCTTCTGAGCGTGCATGATGATGGAAGTAATAAAGCTCTCACCTACAACAATTACACTGGCAGTACCAATTCACAGTGAATCCGTAATGGACGGAAGAGTGTTTCTTCCCACTGGTCTGCCTTCTAGATGGTACGTGAGTGAGGTGCCCAATCATGACGGCACCGCAGCTGACCACCCTTCCCACGTCTCCGCCCGAACCATCAGGGTGAACTGCGTATCAAGCATATCCTTGGTTTGGTTTCCGAGTTTGACGCTGGGTTAAATGCGCACGCCACTTACGTTCTAAATGCGTAAATGAGTTTCTACTCATCCTAACCCTGTGAGCGCGATCTTTCCTACCAGCACCAAGTGATGCTATCTGGGTCGCAAACACTAGTGGAAAGGAACTGCCCTGACTGCACTCCCAGTTCATCTACTTCACACTTGCCTGTCGCTTACAGGATAAATGACCAGCACATGCTCGCGGAAGAAGAGAAATCTGTCGGATCAACATCAGCGTTTCTTGTGACAGCGGTAGCACAATTACCGTAAACCGTATGAGTTTCACTTTCACAACGTTGAAGTTTCATGGTGCTTATTTCGGGACCGCATTAAGGCTAGCCGGTGAACACATGATGTTTGAACAAACAAACCGATGCGAAGATGCAGGAGTAGCTGGAAAAGGCGGCATGAAGTGATGGGAAGGTAAGCCATGCGTATCGCAGCTCGTCAGCACCTCGGAAGTTGCATGCCAAATGAGGCGAAGGCGATGGCGAATGCTCAAGTGGAGCTGTGCAGGCACTGAATTAACAGGTAATGTATTGGACTGCGAACTACGGTTGGCACATAAAAGGACACAAATGAGCAAAGGCTATAATTAAGCAGAAATGTGAAAGTGAAATGCCCTTTACCTGATAGAGACGTTGCATAGCGAAAGAAAATAGGGTCGCTGGTAACCAGTCATCAATTTGATCGTATCGACGAAAATTTGCGTCACTAATGCTCCACACAAGAACACAGCTGTAACAGAGGATATCATCTTTTTGTGATTTCGACCCTCAGCAAAGGCTTCAGACTTACCAATGAATCGAAGAAGTCTTCTCGTAAAGAGATGCACTTTACATTCGCCACAGTTCGCATACACAGTTTTCCGAGGTTTCGTAGAGAACAGCCAGAACATCACCTCACCGATGAACATCTGGAGTTTTACAATATGATCCTTACAGTTTTGGGGTTGTTTTATAGTCACGACTGCTGTTTAGCGTTGCGGCTCATAGGTCAGGCTATGGCAACAAAACCGTCAAGATGAAGAGTAAAATGAGGAAAAGATCATGAGTAAAATGCTGCCTACATAGCGCATTCGCCACGCCTGGTGGGCGTGAAGTGCTAGTTTGAGTCCTACAGGGGTCAAGACTTCTGCGCATAACTCAGTGCAACGCTCTTGATTCTCTATGGTTCTTTGGCACCCAAAGAACAGCAAAAGGTGAACTTTTGCACAGAGATGTGAACAGGTGAAGTTATAAATGCCACTTGTCTCCAAGCAAGATGCCCCCCTCCTATTGAGAAAATAAAGGGTCTCTACAGGCTGACAGTAGTAAGCACTGATTTTCTCATTCGTGCGTGGCACCACGGAGCGCTAATAACCCTGAAAGTGGCATTCCAAGGGCATTTACTTCCAGC